GAATTTTAATAAAAACCAATAACAACGGAATCGGAAATGAAACAAATAGACCATCGTGGAGGTGACATTCGTGAGTGCGTGCATCGCAAAATTAGCTGTTTCGGTAGATCTAGAAAGGCACCACTAAAACACAATCGATCAGGTGAGTTACACTAAATGTGTTCGGTTTGTTTGAACAACATAGATCCACACTCACCTGAGGCATGTAGTTGCTTGAGTCGACGCGATTCCCACGTGGATAGATTCGGCTCATTTGTCGTTTGTTGTAGCTAGATCAGACATGTCTGAGTTAAGGAAATTTCACTTGATCCCAAGCGGACAGGAAAACAGGAGGAGGATATAGGATGTGAGTGAATAAAAAAACTGATAAAAACATGACACAAAAAGTAACACGATGCTGATCTAGAGGGCGGACGATTTTAATGGGATGACGGACAACAGTGGGAAAAGGTTACTTCACAAACCCGATGCAATCTTTCTTTATCAGACCCAAACCGACATTTTCGTTGCAGGAGAACATGTGCGAGGACATGCTTCGTTCTATGGTGGAGGGAATCGATGAGGGGGAGAAGATGCAATAGTGAATAGTGGTGCAGACAACATACGAGCAAAGGAAAATCGGGGCACTCTGACAACACGGATGTGCAAATTGGAAAAAAAAATACCTACATCTATAGATTATGCGACTGAACAGGATCCGTGTGGAATATATACAACGCATGTTTACATGAACCGAATAAAAGCCAAATGTTCTACGACAATACTCTCTGGTATTGAACGCACTGTGAACAGGATCAACACCGGATAACAACAAAAAGCACTGACGAAGATGCATATTGCAAAAAAAACGATCATAAATTTTCACTCAGTTTTCTATTTAAATTGTAGCAGTTCATTGGCAGTCACCGAGAGAATTCAGGTGTGAAAATCTTCACAGTGATCGAACTTTGGAGGTAATCGGCTTTACTGTTGAGCTCTCCACTTATATTACCGGTACATTCTATGATTCTTCATTCTCAGTTTTGGAGCTCAGATTGTCTTGCTGCACAATCAGATAGTAAATCCTTCTGACTACGAGGATCTAGCTTATCTAATCAATAACCTTGCACTGTTGAGCATAGGCTGCGATTGTTGTCTTTCGGGTACTGATTTGGTTAGCTAATGTACCAGGGGTGAATCAAATAGTCTTGAGGTAAATATTATCAAAATACAGATGAGAAGAGCAAGCTGGATTCCAACACATATCTCGTCCATCTTGAAGATCCAAATGACGACTATTTACAGCACCATGTAGGAGTAGATTTGGTATATTAAAACCGTGCTTAGGCATATTCAAAGTCCCCCCAAAATGTGAAGCCTGATCAGCATGCACATGCACAAAAAATATAGGACATGTGAGCCTCTTGATGCTGAAGGCACCAAATAATGGTGTGTGTGCGGGCAGTTGCAACAAATACGTTTGGTGATTAGAAAAGTGAAACAGGGACAAGCATGCGTCTACAAACCACAACACGAGTTATGTGACCGGGAGAACGCGAACCAACGAGTCGGATACTTCACATATTCGATGGCTTGGTTTTTCATCAAGCCTAAAGAAACGGTCTCGCTGAACGAGGACATGTGATAGTGGACATTCTCATCTGACGATGGTGATGTGTATTGCGTACGAGGTATATTACAGTGGGGGATGGGACAAGACAGAATAAAAGAGACATTAGGTGAGATAGGAGGGGGGGGCATAAATTCAATTTAAACGCATGTGAACAACCGCAAGGGTAAAATCAAATCACTGATTGAAGCGAGGAGGGACATTTGGTTGAAACCAAAGACAGATAGGGGATTTAGCACTTACCATTATCAAGTGTTTATCTTTCAGGAAGACAGGATCTACTACTTAGTGCCCTTCGATTTGAAAGAAAAGGTATCAAACATCAACACGAACTGCGACATGATTCTATTGAGCAGAGGCAGAATGAAAAGACCGATTTCGGTTATCCGTCAAACAACTACAGATGATCCGTTTGTAAGGGTATCGGTTCGCATCGTAGTACATTTATAGACACTGCTAATTGGTACGAACCACTGATCGCAGCCAGAGGGTAAGAAACTGGTTGAGAAGCCAGGAACACGCATGAAGATTGGTCAACGGAAAGGGTTAGCATGAAGTTTATCATGATTGATTTGGTTAAATGACAGACCACGTTGCTACGTGAAATGCTAAACAAAGAGGACGAGTTAAATGAAATGAATGAGTTGAGGGCTTACAAATGGATCTGTATCGTTATGCACACATACAATACAAAGCCGTTTTAAAGAGAAAAAAATCAGACCAATCATGTTCTAACCCATCTATTTTTAACAATTGATAGGTTATTCGTTATTTTAACAACAAAGATCCTCACCAACCTCATGAACAAGTAATTCAAATAGTTTTCATGACCTCTTCTTCGAATAAATTGATGTCTATGTTGTGAACTGCGTTAAACACCATACTAAAAGAGGGGGTTAGATTTTTTCTCCTATTGAAAACGTTAACGGAGTACGCAGTGATACCGTTTTCAGTGTTTTGAGATCTGTTCAATCAGAGATTGTTTGAAAGAAAGGTTCCCAATGGTTGGAGAGATGCCGCTATCATGACAGCTCCCTAGAGGGGGGTACTTCAAAATTTTGCCCGCAATGGTCGTACTTGCTTTACAAGTGATTGAAAAGCTGTTTGTTCGCAAAATGTCCAAAATCAAATCTACTGACNAATAACCTATAGTATCAATGCTAGCAGTTACCACTTAGCACACTAACTTGATAGATATCTTACAGAATTTATTTGTTCGATTCTAGCGATGTTTTAGGGGGTTTAGAAGAGACGAGCTTTTATGACTACCTGAAAAAAAAAACAGATAATCTCCTTTCATCACCCACTTTCATAAATCGCCGGCAATTCATTTGTTTTCATGATAAAGTCTCTGTCTGGTTAAACTCTGTACTGTCACGCTTTTTTTTCTTATATTTATCCGCATTGCCAACTTTATTTCCAATTTTCTGACTATATAACACATTGATGATGGGCCACCCTATTTAATGACTCCAGTCTATACGCAGCGGAATATATCGTAAATTTACGAACAGTCCGTATATCTCAAACTATCGATAAACTGCCCCGAATGCCCAGATGTCGTTTTCCCTTAAATGAGGCGTAACTGGTACAATGCCATCGATACCTCATCTGGCATA